TGTTGTATGACAGTCTGATGTTGTATGACAGTCTGATGTTGTATGACAGTCTGTTGTTGTATGACAGTCTGTTGTTGTATGACAGTCTGTTGTTGTATGACAGTCTGATGAAGAGGATGCTGAGCGTTGTCTATAATGTTCTTCATTTGATGAAGAATCCTTCTTTGAACAATCATCTCCAAAGGTTCTAGAGGAGTCCCCAGAACTGAGCCAGCCTTCTTTATGAGCTTGTTGATCTTTTTTAAGTCACTTGCTCTGGTGCTGCAGATGATGGCAGAAGAGACAGCGCTCTCTACAACAGGCTTATAGAAGATAGAAGCCACACCTACTCACATATGTTCTCTCTCATTAAACCACACCAACCACATGTTATGTTTTGTTAAGCAACACCTCCTCACACCTGTCTTCAGCCTTGTTAAGCCATGCGTGCTCATACCTGCTCTCTATCTAATTAGGCTCAGCTGTTTCCCATGTCCTGTTCTGCCTCGGTCCATATAGTTCCTCTATCTGCTTTCAGTTCTTCAGTGGAGCATTTGGTGTGTTTTTCCACCATGTCTTGTTCTTTGTGCCTTTTTGAATCTCCTCATGCCTCTTTGAGTTTCCTTGTGCCCCCCTGAGTTCGATCTTTGGTTTCTGTTGTGTGTCTTGCTGCCACAATGGCCTTTCATTTTGGTTTGACAATAAACTATAGTTTTACTGAAGAACTTGTATCGGTCTGGATTTTTGGGTTCAAATTCTCCTAAAAATGTGACACTGAGCCTTAACGCCTTGGATTTATTCACTATTTCCTCTTCCACCTTGAACCTCCATCCACCTGCTCTTCTCTCCAGGGGAGTGGGCTGTATCCTGTATGAGATGGCAACAGGTCGCCCAATGTTTCCTGGTGCCACGGTGAAGGAGGAGCTACATTTAATTTTTAGACTCCTGGGTAAGAAATCTCCTGTGTTTCAGAACTGTAAAAAAAAGACACGAGGTGAGAGCCCTTCAGCCCCGACCTCACTCAGCTGAAACTGTGGAGACCGACGAGTTGGTCACTCAAAATGATCAACTGCGATTTCACCAAACAGTGTTTGAACACACACTTTTCCACATTGAGTCATTCAAATAGATTCATGAAGGCTCACTTACCTTCATCTATTACACTAACTTTGTTTATCACTGCTTCAAACATTTTTAAGATGTCTTCAGGTTTTACCTTTAGATATTTCACATTGAAGATGTCTGGTCGCAGCTCGGCGAGATACCACATCAAAGCACAGCGATGTCAGAACCATGATCTGGACAGAATGTTCTACCAGGGATAAAACTTGTTTTTATCAGAGTTTACTGCGGCCTCTGTAGAGCTCAGCAGGATAAAAGCAATCAAAGCTTCTCTGAGGATGGTTCATGATTCCTCCACAGCCTGTGGGTCTGATGCCAGTGTTTGTGATTCTGATGCCAACATGTTCTCTCCGTTACTAAACAGCTTCACTTCGTGTTTCCAAAAACACTGTTAACTGGTGTGTCAGATAACAGATGAGTCCATTTGTTTCCCAGATTGTGAATTTGGAATACTGTCCAATCACATTTGATGACAAATTAGCAGATATTTTTCAATAACTCCTAGTAGTGTGTTGTTTTTTTTGTTGTAAATGTCAGTTTCTTCTGATCGCTGCTGACAAAGCATTTCTATGTCCCGTAGGCACTCCAACAGAAGAGACTTGGTCTGGGATCAGCAGTAATGAAGAATTTAGGTCCTACCTCTTTCCTCAATATAGACCTCAAGCCCTCATCAACCATGTGCCCCGGTAAAATTAACCGTCTCTGTTTATCTTTATACCTGAACAGTTACAGACGGATGTAAACGCTAACATGCTAAAATGTGTCGATTAGCATTGCAGCAATGCTAATGCTTGTTGGGATGCTACGCAACATGACAATTATCAAAAAGGGTTACTGGTAAGCTCAGGAAAGATGTGAAATATTTACTGGTTTGTGCCTATGTTTTGTTTATTTTGGTATATTATTTTTACATATTTAAAATAAAACCTCATCAATCAAAATCTCAGATTATGAAGCCATGATAACCTTGATCAAAAATACCTGTCATCACACCGCACGATCTAACTGTGTTTAATATTATTATTATTGTCCAATATTACCACATATTCCTATAATATGGATTTATTTAGAGCTCTAATAGTATAAAGAGAGCACAATAAAATGTGTTTACAGACACTTTATTTAAAGTCAGTCAAACATTTCTCATGCCTCTGATTATCACCTACTGCCAAAAAACAGAAAGCAGGTTATAATGTTGTTAGTGTGTGTGTGTGTGTTTGTCTGTCATGTTAGCAAAATATCATGAACAACTGGACAGTATCACAGCTGGTGATAAGGGCAGAGACAGTTAGCAGAAAAGGATCTTAAGTTGTTCTACTAGGTTCAAACTTGTGTTCTGTTCGACGCCAGAATCAATCAGGGGGCTGCGGGATGACTGAGTTTATCCATAAACAGGGTTGTGGACAAAGTTCATTTGTTTCTAGAGGATAGGGATGAACTGCCCACCAGCTTCTGTCCCTTTTACTCACTGTGGATAGTTAGCCATAAAGTGACCAGGTGTACCATGTTAACGCGTTCTCTGGTGGATACATGCCATTGTCTTTCTTCTGGTGAGAGACGTGTGTGGCCAATATGCATAGGTTCTCCCTCCAAAAACATGGACAGAGGAGGACTGACTGGTTTTCTGGTTGTAGTCTTGGGGATGCAGGGAGTTAGTGAGAATGGAGCGATTCTGGGGTCTGTATTTCTTCTGATGTTGATGTCCCTCAATCGATTATCAATCATGATAACCAGGTTTATCAGTTCATCCAAAATGTCTGGCTTGTCCTGAAAAGCCAAATGATCCTTTAATTCTTTGGTGAGTGAATTGAAAAAAGCACCCCATAAGACCCCATCCTGAAAGGATTTTTAGGATTTAATATTGCATTATGACAGTGTGGACATGTAAACCTTAACTGCATCCAACCACAATCACAATATGATGAAAATTAGAAATCTGCTCTAAAGTACTGGATCAGTGAAGTGATGTGATGATATTGTATTTTATCACTGCATTATAAGTATCTACAAGTAATATTATATCCGACAACAATTAGGTTTACAAATGCTTGTTGTGCTTACAAGGTAATAACTTATGCCTTATTTGCACTGCCCCTAATCAGCCCCAACTCTGCACAGCCCGCCACGGAAAGAACCCTTTTGCACCAATACTTTAGCTAGTATTTTTAGCTGATTCAGGACCTCTTTTTGTCCCTGCTTCTCTGGTGGGGCCGATGGATCTGAGTCGAGCTGACTCCGGACAGAAACATGAAGGCAGGACTCTGATTGGTCAGGGGGAGGAGTCACTGGATCTCAGAAACTTTTCACCGATCCTCCATTTGCAATTTCTCTGGATGCGGAGCAGCAGCTGGATCTATTTTTAAGATTTTAAAAACAATAATGACAACGCCGTGTTTAATTCTCAAGTCCACGCTTTTTTTTATGTTTGGTGACCGACGACAAAATTTGAGCGATCGGAGTCAACACGGAGGATCATACGAGCTGCCGAGCTGTTGAAGCCCGCGAGGCCGGACCCCGAGCCCCGGCCTCGCCTGCTCACAAAGGATGGAGTCCGAGCCCTGGGAGGCGGGAGGACCAGGAGGACCGGGAGTCCGGGACGGAGGGTGGAAACTTTTTTTAAAAAACATTTTATGTATAAAATTGTTTTATTTTTTTTATCATTGAAGATTAAAAATAAATAAACGGTGCCGACTTTATCATGAAATCCTGCTTTCACTTTGACTTTATTAAATAATCTGTTAACTAAAGTTAACTCAGCTGAAAAATCATAAAAAGACAAAATTATTGGATCTGTCAGGAATGTAGTGAGAGAGCAAGAGATGGATTCAGCTCAGGGGTGCTCTCTTACATTTTATAATATCTGGACTAGTTCAAGTACATGATATTATCCTTTATTTAAACGGATTCTTTCATTTTTCTGGACTGAGTACTATCGTGCCTTGAATGATTAAATGTGGACGGAAACGTGTTTAAATTTCTGACTCACCAACAACAGTTAGTCGTTTAATTAAAAACGATTTAAACACATCACACATTTACATTAATTGACAGATTGATTACAGTTAACACAGCTTAATTAATGAGCTTTTGCGCTGAGAAATCATACGGCCATGATTTCTCACTTGCAACTGAAATACAACAGACATTTCTGAAAATATCTGGATTAATTACTGGCAGATAGAAGAGTTTTAAAGATGGGAAAATGAAGTTTAAATGGAGAAAATGGATGAGGAAAAAGTGTCTGTATAACCAGAAACAACACGCTCCTTTGGACGCAGCTTAACCCACGGTACACTAGCAGTTGAGATCGACTCTTTTACCTTTGCAGACGATAGTTTCGGCTTCGGTGTAGAGTTTTCTTTCAACTCTTTTCAGCGTCTCCGTAAGAACAGCTGTGACCTCAGGAGTCGTGAGATCATCACAGAACAGACTTCCTCATTGTTCAGAGCGTTCGTCGGGTAGAGCCACAGCGAGACGTCGTGGCATCGACGGACTCTTGTCACTCCATTAGAAACTGCTCTGAACTTCTGTTCCTCTGAACTTCTCTCGTTCAGGAACTTCTCGTTCGAGGTTCTCCCTGGAACTCTTGTTCTGCTCTGGAACTTTGTTCTGCGTTGTTCTGCTTAGAACTAGGAAGTGTCGACCCTTTTAAAGAGGTCACTTCCGGTTCCTCTGAGAACTTCCTGATTGGTTGAACGAACCAACCGGGGTGTGGTTTTAGTGACGTCAGAGGGTCATTACATGTCAAGGAGACAGAGTAGATGTTTTAAGAACAGATAGAAAGATGTTTTGAAGAAACAGAGACATTTAGGAGCCAGTCTTCCTTCTATCTGTCTGAGAGAGTTAAACATGACATTTCGTTCCGATAAACATGTTTTTGACCGTTCCTTGACTTTTGACCGACATCACAACTTGTTCATTTCAGACAGAAGATCAAAAAATGCATAATTACTCTTGTAACAGACATCTAACTTGATTTCTACTTCGAATGAGGATTAAAAATCATTTATACTGTTTCACAGTTGATTTAAAATGAGTAGTTCACTTCAACATTTAAAATGGTTTGAACTAAACACACTTTGATTATCAAGATATTGTAAAATAGTAATGATAATAAACAGAGAGTGTTCTTTCAATTGATCCGTGCAGGACACACTTAGAAAGTCTCTGGATGAGCTTAATCTGTGTTTCTGGACTCAAATCAGTGAAATAACAGTTCCTGTCCCAGGAAGGCTTTTGACCTGAGGCTTAGTTCACTACAGGAATATTTCCCTCCAACATGTTTAAAGAAGAGACACAGCCTTTGGTTCAACTTTATTCTAACCCACACATGTACAAATCACAAAACAAGCATTACACTTTAAATTAAAGCTTTAAATCAAAGCTAAAAATAATCTGTATACAAGAAAAAATAATCTGTACACAAGAAACAAAACCATAATGAGTGCAAATACATCAAATGATGAAGAAAAATATAGAATTTTAAATATAAATGTTTTTGTAGAATCTGGTTCATCAGATTTAATTCAGTTCAGTTTATTTATGCAGCACCAAGTCACAACAGAAGTCGTCTCAGGAACTGAACAGAAACATTCATATATAAAAATAATAATTTAATATTATTTATCTGAGGAGCAGACTGCTTTGAGTAACTCATCGCAGAACTCTCATTAGCAGGACTTGGATTCTGGACACGCCTCCAGAATCGGTCCTAAAGTGCAGGTGCAGATCCAGGCTGAGCTGAGCCAGGCTGAGCAGGACTGAGCTGAGCCAGGCTGAGTAGGAGCAGTGCAAAGAAGTCATTAGTCTGAAATGTTTAATATAACAACTCTAGTTGAAATATATAGGTTGCATATTTGGTTCACTATTTGACAATAAACTGGTCAGTTTTGTCTTTCTGTCACCCTTAATTAATGCATTATAAACAATTATTAATGATTTATAAAGTGTTTATAGAGGAATTAACATATCTATAAAATATTTATTAGCCATCTATAAGTGGAGGATTATTGTAAAGTGGTACCTAATACTTTTACTCACCTAAATATTTGGTGTTCCATTACATATATTTCTATCTTCTCAGTTGTGTATCAGAAACTACATAAAGAAACTGGAAGTTAAACTGGGTTTCTTTTTCAGAAACAGATCCTGTCTAACTCTGAATGTTAGGAAACACCTTGTATCTGTGACTTTCCTTCGCTCCATTGATCACAGTGACATTATTTACATGAACGCTCCTACAAGAACCCTGCAGATGTTGGATGCTGCAGATGTTGGATGCTGTCTATCATGGTGCACTAAGATTCATAACTGGCTGTGATTATCGTACCCACCACTGCACCCAGTATTCACTGGTTAACTGGACATCATTAACTTCACACACACTCTCTCACTGGTATATTTTCATCTTTAAATCACTTCCTGGTCTGCTGCCTTCATACATCTCCTCCTACATGTCTCTGTGTGAGTGCAGCTACAGCGTGCGCTCTCAGGACATCATTACCTGCAGTGTTCCCTCAGTGAGGACTGAACTAGACAAAAGGGCCTTCTCCTACTCCGCTCCTGTTTCCTGGAATATCTTGTAAAAAGACCTGAAGCTCTTGACCTTTGACCTCTCTAAGTGGCTTTAAGAATCTGTTGGACTCCTGGCAGGGACCAATGCAGACATGTTCCTGTTTTTAGTTTTCTACTTTCACCTTAGAATTGTTGTGAAATAAAATATATTTGTGTGCTTAATTCTTTAGTTTTATGTATTGGTGAAACTTATTTACTATTCAACAAAGTCTGTGTAAGGCTGAAGAGGAAAGGCATTTTCTGTCATCAGTTCCTTTGTTTAAACTCAGCAGAAAACAGCACGATAGGGGGAGGTGAACAGAACTTTCT